AATACAACTCCCGGATGTCCCGCCTTAGTTTACATCTCCCACTACCCTACTCCAAAGCCCCCTTGCCCCTATTTAGAATTATCCATATTTGGAACTTCTACTTACGTGTCATCTTGAAAGCTACTGCGTTCCTGTAGTTTCTTAAATAGCTACAGTCTGCGGTTAAACTGGCTGCATCCTGTCGCAACTACCTACATTCTTCCCCTTTTCATATAGGTGCAAGCTGCTTTAAGCCTATAGCTAAATTTCACACATCCTGTCTTCCAGGTTGTGGGCCCTCTTGCAAGCGTTTCAGCATGTTACCCCCCACCCACCCCCATCCTGACCCTTCACTAGAATCTCCAATCAAGAGACAACCTTGCCATCCAATGTAATGTTGTTTGCAACCCAAGGCCTTACATTCAGGATACCAAGACAAATCAAATGTTTAAAACAAAAATGTGCAGTTTCAAGACAACCCTTACAATTAAACAGCAAGTGGAAAACCATCCCCTGACTAGAGAGATTTTAAAATCCTGTCCAGAAAGCGTCACAGTCCAAATGCTCATCTACAAAGGGGTATTCTCTCAATCTTGCTGGGAAAAGCACCTAAGGTGATACAGTTATTTAATCAGTCGATTGGCTAAATTTGCTGTCCTAATAATCATGTCAGTTTTTATTCAATCCCAACCCTTTTTATTCTGGTCAACAGAATTTTAAAATCTCTGAATATATTCGTAATGTTTTTTTATGAGCAGAAAATAGAAATATAATCTGGATTTGCCTCCAGTGGCTTTTGGGCAACCAGAATAGTTACTCTGGCTTGACAGTGTTGTGTTGTATATATGATCTCTTGTTCTTTTAAGATATTGTCCTTTTTAAATTATAATATAAGAGACAGAGGTAAGAAGAAGCTTAGAAAAAAATGTGTAAAGTTCCTTATCAGAGAGGTGAGCAGACGTGTGAATCTTGAAGCATGGTTTTGCCTCCTCCTTTTCTGCCTCTAAAAATAAGGTGATGAGGGGAGACAAAATTCACCTTTCTTCATTCCCATACTTCTGCAGATGTCAAATCCAAAGTTTGGGTTTTGAATTCTCAGAGCGCTGAGATTTTCATATTCCCTGGATTCCCGTGAGACCTTATCTAGACTTGGGATCTTTTTTCCTTTTTTTTTTGTATGAACTCTTTGCCAGATCTGAAGACATTGTGGGTCTTGTAGATATTGTACAGAAGGTCACATGCTCAATCCCTGCCATCTCCAATTAAGAAAATCAAATAACAAGGGGAGGAAAGATCGCTGAGACACTGTAGAGTAGAGCAATTTGCATGAGGGTGGCCATGTGATCTAGGAGGAAGGGCATAATTCAGTGTTTGGATACTTCTGTGGATGCAACAGGTCCTTGGTTCAGTCCCTTTTGTCTTCAGTTAAAAAGAGCAGGTAGTGGTAAAGGGAACAGACAATTCCCAGCATGAAATCCCGAAGAACCACTGCCAGCCAGAGCAGGTTGTGAAGAAATGAGATGGGCTTAGTGTAAAGCAGTTTCCCGTGTACCCTATTAAGGCATTGTCATCTAGGGGCAGAACAGAGCCTTCCCCTGCAGAATGTCCCCAGTTACATTCTTAGCCTTTTTGGAAAAAAGGCGCCGAGAGCTGTTGATTGGAAAGAGCAGCTGGAAAGATTCTGCATAAAAATAGATTTTTCTGCTATAATGTTCTCACCCTACCTTCTGAAGCTTAGTGGGGCTTGAGGGACTTGGGGGATTCGATCCTTTGTTCAGTGCCCTGGACTGGCTTTGTTAGGAGTGTTGCGGTATATAAATATGTTAAATATATTCTTCACATCTTTCCATACTCCCAGTATTCACGTTGAAAGCGGTAGTAGTGTTATTTTTCTACTGCTTCTTCAATGGTACCAGGTCAAAACTCTTGATCCTGGAAGCTGGTCTCCCGTGCCGTGTGGAAAAGTAGCAGAAACCCAGGGGGGAAGGTGGACTGCGGCCATTGCCTTGAATTGCAAGACCAGTCTTGAGTTCCAGCCTTGACTTTTAATGCTGCAAGATGAAGGATGGGAATGGTGCATTGCACACCAGTGGGTCATATGGGAATGGAAAGGCCGTGGGAGAGAGAATGGCATGTCCAAAGGCCATACAGGGACTGATGGTACCGAACACCTCATAACGTATAGAACTTACTGGTGCTATCCATTCAGAAATCTCAGGAGTGTGACCAGGTGTGAAGTTACTCATTGTTACCCTATGCAGCAAGTTAGGTGGCCATTCATGGCTAGTGAAAGACCTGAACCCAACCATCTCTTTTTAACTCAGTTGTTTAACTCATGATGCCATTCTGTCTCTCATTTCTGTTTTATTATGTTGCTTTTCATTTTTTTTTTAAGACTTGGGGTTTCATTTGGTCTTTTGAACTTGTCATATTTATTTTTATTTTATTTTCCTAAACTTGTGGAAACTTGCCTTTGATCTTTAGCCACATTCCTAACCATTGACAGGGTTTGTGTCTGTGTCTGTGTCTGTGCACATTGGGGGGGGATGATTGCTCTTTGCTCAACGTCTAGCCAGACCCACTTTTGAGAGGGGTCTTCCAGCCTGCTGGGGAGGGAGGTTAGTGAGTCTGCTTTGCAGAGGGAAATGCTATACGCATACCCTGTGGGTTCACCTGCAGCACATGTGCCATGCTCATGTGCCATGCTCATTGTTATCGTCTTTACAGATAATTCAGTGGAAAGTCACTGGATAAGACATGCTTTGTGAGTTGATGGACCTGCAAAGCTCCTTCTCCTTCCCAAAGGAGGAGAAGGGAAGCCATGGGTCTGACTCTCAAAATCAGCATCAGGACTGCTTTGCTGGGTGAGACCAGGCCCAGCTCAAACAGCATTCTGTTTCTAATTAATGCGAAATGGAACATGGTTGCTCATCCCCAGCATCTATACTGATGCTGGACACGGAGCTTCCACTGTAACTTTGGTGAAACTCTTTTCTCCTCTATGAATGTTTCTACTGTAATTGTTTAAAACAGAGCACCCTCCCAAGCTCCAGACCACCATGACATTCTGTGATAGCATCTTAATTACATATGCTCTGAAAAGACTTTTCCTAAATTTGCTGCCAGCAGTTCTGTTGGGTGAACCCAGTGCCTAAATTATGTAGGGAAAGTTAAGGGAACCCTCAGGAACCCTCCTCCCCTTTAATTTGCTACATTAAAAACTTGGAGGGCCAGATGCTCTCTACTCCCCCATTGCTATCACTCAAGCCCTGGGACAGCTCAGGTTTTAGTAGTCTAGTGCAGGGGGGCTGAGGGAGACGAATGGCATAACAGTCACTTGCCAAAAGCATCCTCCATGAGGGATGGTCGAAACAGGCAAGATGCAAAGTTAACATCATGGCCCAAATCCTGCCCCTTTGTCTGTCCATTTATATGTACAAAGGGGTAGGGCTTGGACTGTGCATCCCCTCCACCATCTTGCCTGCTTTGACCCCTCCCTGCACTTGTGCTGCTTGTGAAACGTTAGGAGCCATGTAGCTCAAGCACGAGGATACAGTTGGGCTATTCCTGCAGTACCCTGTACAACTTTTTTTTCTTTTTTTTGGCTGTTCTCATGCAAAAGATTGCAGACCAAAAGCTGTCCATGGTGCGTAGAAGCCCATTCTGCAGATTTGCGCTGCAGCCAGTAACTGCAGCAGCATTTGTCCAGTTCGGCACCAGTGCTTTTGAAGGTCTGGGTATAGCGGTGCTTTAAAAGGCAGCTTGACCTACGAAGCTGTGCTCTGTTAATGGGGAGTAAGGTGAATGAAATGCCCCGTGATGCAACTGTATATCTACCTCTTGTCTTTCTCCAGTGCCAGTGAGAATGCATTGCGTCTCAGGCTCTCATATAGGGAATAAATAAATATATCAGCCCCTCCCCATAGACTGTAGGTGGGAGGTTAATATAGTCTACCAATAAGTAAATACATCCACAAATAAAACAGCACAAAACAACTGTCAGATGAAAAGAATTTAATGTTAGCCATTCCTCCAGTAAGTGACTTTTATATTTGAAGGGTATTTCCAGTGATAGGTTATTTCAGGGGCTTTCTGAGGAAGTACCGTTCAGACATTGGACTGCTACCTTTCAAAGTAAATGACATCAGGAAGACGAGGTGAGGAAGTTGTTCTACGCTTTTTGGAATGGAAGGACAGTTATTTCCATTAGCGCCTCTGCGTTTCTTGTGCATTTTTTCCCTAGCTTCTGGTTTTTTTGGGGGGGGGGGTTACATTTTTTCTTTAGAAAACCAATTACATTAAAGGCAGTATGTTTTAATAGCATGAGTTGATGCTGTTGCTTGTTGATAATGACCTCTTCCATCTAATTTCTGTGCATTTTCCCCCCTTTCCACGAAGACCTTACCTGTTTGGAGCAGGATGTTTTTCCATAAAAGCTCCATGGTGAGTTCAGTTCAATCCCAGCATGCCAATTGTTAATTTGCTGTACTCACTGGAAATGATCATCCATCGCTGCCTCTGCTTCCTCCATTTGCTTCCATTTCTGTCTCTCTTTTTCTCTTTTGCTTGATCTGATTACTCATTACATAGATATAATATGTGAGCATATGGGCAGAATGAAGAATGTTAACCAAGGCAGGTTGCTCGACTCTATCAAGAGTTTTCCATGACTTTCTTAGTAATGCCAAATGCTTTGTGTCACATTGGGTGTGTTTTTCCCAAAGATCTTCCCAGTGTCATCTCCAGGCTTTGAGGGGATCCAGGAGTAGTCCTCTCTGATGTGCTATCTACTTTCTTCCTTCTTGAAATTTTTCCATTTGATGGAAGGCAGTCACCATTTTAATTTTCATCAGTGCTCCAGTGCAAAGCTACACTGGGGGTGTTGTGGAAATTAAAATGGCAGCTGACCAGAACTCTGTAATTGGGGGAGGAGGGAATGAAGGGTGGTGGTCCAAAGTGGGCATTTTTCATGACAGACTGAAGCTGGAGAAGCAAGAGCCCCTGAATCTCATACAGAGAAAACTATTGTAAAATACTGGAGAGGGGGCCGAGAGCTTGATGACAGAGAAAAGAGCAGCTAAAAGCCCACTGGTTTGTAAAGGTGGGAGGAGAAGACTTTGGATTTGGACTTTGGGACTGACTAGATAGACAGACAGACAGACAGACAGACGGTTTTCTCTCTCCTGCTAGATGCAGAACTTCTTTGTATGATTTCTGATCATTCCTGGTACAAAGCCCTGACCCCAGCAACCAGGGGCAACCCATATAAAAAACAGGTGGAGCTTCGAGTGCACTGTCATGGCCACCATCTTGACTTTTTTGGGCATACCCTCTGAACACCCCTGCCTACAACTGGGCTGACCCAGGCATTCAGCCACTCTGGCTTTTTACCTCCAAAGCAGCCAACAGAATTGGGCCGGGGGGAAATATGCATAATAGTATCACACTGTATGTTTCTGAAACTACATTTTCCAGGGGAAGGGGGAGGAAGTTGCTGCTTCTAGTACCTCATATTTAGTTCCATCTTACTACTGTCAGATCAGGGTCTTCTGCCTTCTTCCATGGCTTCCTTGTCTGCATTCACAGCTGGCCTGTGCATAGATGGTTTTTTTGGCCCTTTGAGATGGCATGAGAGCATAGCGCCTTCATTGGCTATGTTTTTCCCTGCCATTGTAAATTCTGGCTACGGCTTCATTTGCATTATAAAAGGTCTTTTCCAGTTACCTACATAAGAAAAGTTGTTATCCAGTCCTTTTACTTAAGCAAATGAAAGGCAAAATAAAAAAGCAGTAGTTCATCTGGTTGTTCAGGAAGATGTCAGGCTGTTCCTGCCTTCCATCACTTTGAGTAATAAATGCAAGGACATTGGAACAATTGACAAATACTCAATTGTGTTGACTTTAATGTTACGTTATTAACATCATTTAATCAGCTTTTTGTGGATTTTTGCCAGTTCACATGAACATATGCTGCCTGTTACTTGCTCACCACAGAATTAAACATCTCTTAAGCTTTGATTTCTGATTTAAATAAGTTTTTGCAGGGTTTTCAGAAATCTCTGAACAGCTGTTATCCATCCAGAGCCTATTGGCTGGCTGGTGATTTATGTATTTGAAGGGCTTCTCATAAAGAATGAAAGATAAAGAATGAAAGCCATTTTTAATATAGTGGGTGAGCATATAGAAAGAAAATCTTAAGAAGCATCTTCTCCTTGAGAAAAAAAATAACATTAAAAATGGCAGTATAAAGTCCTGGAACAATTCATCGGGTGTGTTCAACCAAACATCTTCCAAAAGAGAGATGGGTGAGCTTCCCCAAAGAGGAATCAGATTGGCTCCAGAATACTTCCAGCTACTTCACCTGAGTCAGAAATTATTCAAGTTCTTTTCCAAATCATTCTTCTTTAGAAGATCCCTACTCCATCTCTCTAATCTGGCGTCTCCAATCTTCTTGCTAGATATCCTCATTCCCAAATCTGCCTCCTTCTTCCCTTTAAATCGCACTTACTAGGTAATAAAATGCATGCAGAAGCAATGACAATGAAGCTCTAACTGTGATGGCATCTCCCTTTCCCTCTGCTAGCATAGCAAGCGAAGAGGGTAGAAAGACCCTGGATGGCATTGAGAAGTGGTACTTTTTAGTGAGGCTACAGCTTCCAAGAACTAGTGGGGGAATCTTTCTCCTGCCAAGGTAACAGCATGGAAGAGAGCAAAGGGACAGAGGGAACAGATCTTTAGTCTTCCTCTGGCAGTGACAAGGTAACACAACCCAACTGCCTCATGGTTGAATCTTCCTTGGGTAGAGAAATGGAGTAGAAGATAGAATATTCCCTTAAAACAATACCTCCCATAACAGAAGATGTCAGGTTGCAGGCTTGTGAAAAATTTCCTTATTAAAAAAAAGGCCATTCCGAGGTAAAAGAGAAGGAGTGACAATTTATGAATGAGGACAGCTTCAGCTCGTTGTTAATATTCTCTGCAACTGTTATGAGGATTGTTGACATGATGAACGTGAAGAGTCCATAACAGGGTAAAGCAGGCATCCCAACCTGGTGGTTTCCAGATATGTTAGGACTACAGTTTCAAGAATCCAGCACTCCCATGTTTGATTGGCATTCATGACAGGTCCAGTTCACTGTTTTTATTAAAAGCATAAACAATCATATTATGAAGAAAAAAGGCATCCCCCATGTTGAGGTGATACTTTTATTAGGCCAGTGAAGTTATATTGAACAGGCTGCAACATTTGAGTTCTCCAGAGAGCCTTGATGAACTTCCTGAACACTCGAAGGCTTGTAAACCTTCAGTTGGTCATATAAAAATATCATCTTAATATTTTCAGTAGTGGCCGCTTGGTAGGCATCCTCCTTTCCCTACTCTCTTCAACAGGCCCTTTTCTCAATTAAGCAAAAAGAAAAGGAAAAAGATTGGATGTGGGCTGCCTGTCAAATAGGCACCAGTAAGAGTCTGGGGAAAATGAGTAGAGAGGATTCTCCTTGCACCCCTCAGAGTAATCACAGCCTCCTGACAAATAGAGATGACGTTGGCTTGAGCCAAGATTAAAAGCTCTAGATTAAAGTGAAGAATATATGGAATGTAATAGACTTTAAATCCTTGTATATGCACTTGTAAGAGTCTCTTGTGGTCCGTTTGAAGCCGTGGTTATAGCGCGCTTGAGAAAATGAACCTCTGTTTGCTTACACAGCAATTGGATTTTCTTTCTTTCTTTTTTTGAAAAAAGAACTATTTTTCTTTTAAAGTCGAGTCTGCATGCTGTTTTCATTAAAGTCTTAATGAGACCTAAACTAATGTCAGCAAAATTGGGCATAGATTTGTCAATTCTGCTTGTGTTGAGTAAAGCCAAAAAACAAAAATATCTTGTAATGATTTTGAGTCATTTATTTTAACTATCTCACACACAACCCTTCATAAGGAAGGATTTGGAATGTGCCGTACTTCGGGCGAAGCTAATTAATGATTTGCCAAATACACACTTGTGAGTGACCATGTGTGTTCTGATTAAAAAAATAAGTGCCCCACCCACTGGGATGTTTTCTTGTTTAGATTCTATTGGAATGGAGTTGTATAGCAGATCTTTTGAACAACTCTAGTTTCTTCCTATAATGAGTTATAATAAGGAACAAACTCTACTTTGCTTGCTGAAGAACCTAAATTCAGTCTCTGAATTCAGTATAGACCTGACCTGGAATGGGAAAAGTGGGAGGCCTTCAACCTAATTTCTTGAGACCCTTCATGTCCTTGTGCTCCCTGTATAATATGGGTGTACTTTTGCTCTCTGGGCCCTTCCCTGTGATAATTGTTTCTTTCACGATGTGGGCATGTGCATATGAACATACCAAAGAGAAAGCAATGGAGTGGCACCAAAAAAGCATGAGCTATTTGTAACATATAGTGTTACAACCTACATCTGCTTTTGCCTTTGGTTCTCTCTGAAGTTGGCTGTGATCTCTGACTGATCTTCCCATGGTTCAGTGGCCCTTTGTAGGATAAGCCTTCAGCCATCCTTGAGGCTGACGGTACTCACATGTGGTGCTACTACAAACATGTCAGCTGAATCTCCAGACTGGCCTTGTTTACACAATGCACTTAAACCCAGTTAGTCACCTGTGGTTCTTGCAGCACACAGTCCCATTGATTAGATGAGAAATATCCATTTCAGGAACGCAGAGCGCCTACCTACTTCTCATCTGTTATGAGAGTACTAGCAAAGCTACGCTACATCACTTGCCCCTTCCTCACTGACCAGGCGAGCAGCATATGGATGTTGCTTGGGCACTGCAGCCCCTTGGTGCGCGCTCTGTGGCAACCAGCACATGCCAGTGAGTTCTGTGACACAGAGCTTTGTTTTTCTCAATCTGCGACTTTTTGCCTTGGAGGACCGACTAGGCAGGACTTCACTCAGTGTGGCTGACCAGGCAAGAATCAGAATTTAGTTGAAAAATAATTGAAAGAAACATGGGGTTGCTTGGGCCTCTCAAGAAAGCAAGTCTTCTCCTGCACCGGGACTGACTGGATTGTGACGTTCACACAAGAGGTGTACCCCTGTGTTAACTCATTGTGCAAACAAGGCCAGAATGTTCCGAGATGTACATTTTTTCATTTCATGTGTTTACTCCAAAAATACCCATTTAAAATGCTATGATTATAAAGTGTTCCAGAGTTGTTGGGAATCAGGCAGCATATAAAATTAATACATAAATAAATAAATTAGAAATTGCAAATGCCATTTTATATACTGGAACTTAGAAAATAAGGATTGAGTGCAGCTTCCTACTGGCTGTACATTTGGAAATAAAACCAAGTTTGTGGTTTGCAATGTGTAAAGTATCCCTTAAAGCCCCAAATGGACAAGGATCTAGGCCTCTTAAAAACTATCTGTTCACATAAGTTTCTGTCCAAGTGTTATAATGTCTGTGTTGTGAT